GAGCCGGAGTTCCTCGCATTTCTCACTACGGCTGAAGAGACTGTTCCTGGCTTGTTCTCTGAACACGTCCCCCATGATGCGGAAAGTGTGGGAGTTCTGCGTGACCTCCAGAACATCTTCACCGCTTGGAAGAGCGCACGTCAAATGCGAGAGTCGACTCGCCAGTGGTCCGAGGCTGACTATGCCACCGGAGTGTGAGTGACCGCCTTTGTCGACAGTGGCACATATTCTAACGTGAAGCAGTTACAACCACGTACGACGGGCATCTATCCGACTGAGTGAACCACGGTAAGTTGATCTATATTCCTGCGATATCGAGTTGAAAGGGGAGCTCAACTCGCACTAGGGCGCAATGTACAATTGCACTTCCCCACCCCGTGTCAAGGCACAAGGTCACTCCCGATGTCGTGCGCATCCTCAACGGCAAGACAGCAAAACCCGACGGCGCACTCTTTCTCCCTACGCGCCTCTTAGTGAAAGAGCTGTGCGAGCGCAAGGACTCCCCGTACAACATCCTGCACCGCAATTCCAAGACGAAGCAGCGATCTGGTGCGGCCAACAGAGAGTCTTCCTTCAGGTACCAGAGCACGATTTGCGCGAAGCTGCCCGACGCCTGCGTGTTCGAAATCGCCAGCGCATTCTGGGAGGACAAGAAGCCGTGCCAGAACGTGCTCGGGGCCGCGTATCGCCAGAACCGGATGGCCACCACTGCGGCGCTCCGCCAGCTGCACGCCCTTGACGTGGCCGCCCCCATCTTCGGCCTGGTCTGGGCGGAGGGTAGCGTCCGCGCCCACGCGGACTGGTGGGACGTGAACACCGAGGATAGCGAGAAGGTCCTAGTGAGTGCACCCTCAATGCCCGTATATAATGCCGCGATCCTCACGTACTATATACAGAAGATCTACTCGGCACCCTACGGCGGGCCCTCCCAGGTAGGCCGCAGGGAGAGCTGCCCGTTCCACCAATGGAACCTCGCTGAGCCCGCCGACATCATCCAGGTGTACCTCCTCATGCGGAACCTGGACCACTGGACCGCGGGCGCGTTCCGGGACGCCGTCATCACGGGTATCACGGGCCTCGCCCAGCGCGTCGAAGCGGGAGAGGCACACGCCGTGGCGTGGCGGCGCAAGGGCGACATCACCGTCTCGAAGGCACGGAAGGCGCCGCGCGCTCCAGCGGCGCCGGAACCAGAATTGCTAGTCCAGGTCACGGTCAAAGTGGAGGACCCCGCACCGGCGAAGCGCAAGACCAAGGGCAAGAGCAAGATGCGCATCACCACGCCGCGCACCAGCATTGGCAGCGTCCATTGACCGGGGCCGGCGCGAAGGCCTTAGTCCGAGCCCGGCACGAGCACGTAGCACGCATCTCTGGTTATTCTGCTTCATATTCAAGAGTTGTATTTTGTATGGTATGAATGAATGAACGTCATGACACAACCAGCGCGGGTATGAACGTCGTGTGGGTAATAATTCCTCAGGTCTAGATGGGCGGTATAGAAATACACAAAGGCGTCGGTACGTAACGTATAGCACAACATTCTAATCGAGTCCAAGCAACGGCGGTAGATATCACGTAACGGTAACGGGAAGGGGGTCGGATGCGCGCAAGCCAATCTATCTCACAACCCCAAACTCTATGTTTTCGGCTTCCAGCTCGACGGGATCTTCATCACCACATCGTTCCACGTCGCGAGCCGGCCCTCCTCCCACTCCTCCAGGTACGACAGGCCGGCATTCGCGCGCCGCCCCTCCTCCGTCTTCAGCCGCACCTCCGCATCGCACCAGAACAGCACCCAGTCGCCCTGGCGCATGTGTCCCGTGCTGCGCTCAAAGTACCACTTGTTCACCGGGTTGTCCGCGCGGCTGCGCCACACGAGGTCGCGGCCCTCGCCCTTGCCCTCCTTCCCGCCGTTCGGGTTCGCGGAGAACGGCAGCCCGAGCCCGTACGTCTCGTCGTGCAGCGCGACCCAGAGGAAGTCGACCGTGCCGTCGCCCTGGTGGCTCGGCAGCACCGCGAACTTGTCGAGGTACGTGATCGGCGCGACCGCCGCGCGGGTGCCCGCCGCGCACGGCTCGCGCGTCACGATCGCGGCGCCGGCGTAGTCGCCCGCGATGATGACGAAGTCGAGGTCGCGCTCCATGCGCGCCCAGAAGGCGTCCTCGCTCAGCTTGCGCCGGAAGGACTGCTCGAGGAGCGTCTTCATTTTCGCCTTGTCGACCTCGTCCACGCGCCGCACAACACGGATGGGCAGGCCCCGCCGGAGGAGCGTGGGCGTGTGGGGCGTCAACTTGCGGTTACCCTGCAGGAGCGCGTGCGGAAGGCTTGAGCTGACGGCGGGCTTGTTCGTAATGAGGTTGCCAATCAGGTGGCTGGGAGACCTGTGGGAGACCATGACCGCTGAGGAAGAGGGCGGCATGAACGCCAGACATGTCCGGGCGAGCTCGAGGTTGGACAGCGCAGTGGGGTGGGCCGGCTTCCACCGAGGATCAAACGTCTCTCGAATGAACGAGTACTCCGAAGTGAGGTTGATGAGCAGATGTGGCAGGCCTTGGCGGGCATACGAGGGAACGCCTCCCTCCCGGGTGATGATCATGAGGCGTAACGGCGTCAGGTCGATTTCGTCCGGGAACATGGACGGGCCATCGTCTCCCTGGACGCGGCTGTTGTCGAGTGCCGCGGCCTCATTCATGCCACGGACGAGAGCGGCAATCACGTCGTTCGCGTCCACACGCACGCTCCGACAGAACGAGTCCAGGGCGAGCGGCGGGAGGACTGGGATCTCGCCGGCGCGCAGCGCCGAGCGTATGTGGATGAGATCGGATGGGAACGTGTGTGCTTCGGGAAGGATGTAGTCCCGCGGCTCGGAAGAATCCTCGTCGCCGGGCTTAGGACCGAGGCGGACCACCGACCCGAGCACCGGGCGGGCCCGCGCACCTTGGTTTTCGAGCGCGTTGACGACCCGCATCGTCTCCTCCAGGAGCGCGGCGCGTTCGCCGCCTTCGCCTTTTGCGAGCTGGTCGTTCTCGACAACGATCACGCTGACGAGCCCGAGCTTCTCCAGATAGATCATGCCCCGCGCGATGCTCTCGAGCTGCCTGTCTGTGAACGGCGCTTGAAGTTTGACGAGCGCTGTGCGTCTGTACACTGGATTGAGGATCGAAGCCACCACAGGGCTGGGAGCAGGCTTGATGTCCGGAGGCTTGGTCTCCGTCTGGGCGGCTACGTCCTCATCCGCGAGAAGCGGGGATTCTTCTGACTTAGACGCGAGAGGCTGTGGGGGCTTTGGACGGGGGCCGAAGGAGGCTAGGTATGATTTTGTGTCCCTCAGGGAGGGGTTGGCACGGAGGAGGGAGAGGATGAAGTCCTGTACGCCGGCCTGTTCAGACGTGCCCCATACTACCCGTACATGCCCGACATACCTTCTCCGATGGCTCCACGTCATCTGGTTCTGGTGGCTCATACGAGGTCCGGAGGCTCCTTATGGTCTAAAAAGTGGCATAGCAGATACTCAGCGACTTTGCGAGAGCGGCGGCGGGGCAGCGCAACGTACAGCATAGAACGCCTTGAAGGTCTGTGCGGATCGTGAATGGAGGTTGGAAGGTGAGACTGCGCGGCTGCGACCTATGCGAGCAGAGGAGGAGAGCATGGTGCAAAGAGGGGGCCCAGACGCGGGGTCTGGGAGAGAGGGCGGTGGGGGGCTATATAGCCTTGACTCATGGAGGAGAGGCTCTTGAAGGCACGGCCGCAGGAAAAGGTGAGCGAATTCGCGATCTAATCAGATTTTTTCGCGCCTAGATTAGATTCTGCGACTTGGCGCGCGTGGCGTCTATCTGCTATTGGGTGGACACGGTGGAAGCTTGGAATCCCTCTCCCTCTCGAACCCTCTCGCTGCCTGCCCACCATCCAGATAATCACGCGAAGCATGCGGTCGCTGTACCCATGACACACATAGCCGCGCTCTACTTGTACCTCCAGCAGCGAAAAGCGCGCGAGTAAGCGCAGAGCGCGTCTCGGAGGCAAAAATCGGACGCCGAAAGCCCACGCCGAACAGCGAATACAACGCCGGTGTCCTGCCTCCTGCATCAGTAACAGCCGTTTCTGCTACTGGCAGCACAGGCCCGTGCGCAGCGAGTACGTACAACCAACAGCCGTCACTTTCATTACACATAGCCCAGTTCGACCGGAAGAGCCGCCGCTGTCAGCAGAGGCAGCGAACAGCGGAACCCACTCAGCCCGCTCTCGTGGTCTCGGGACACCCCCGGAGGACGCACCTGGCCGTTCCGAAAAGCCGTATACTGTTGAAGAACGGCAGAACACGCGCAAGCCATACCAGTCAGCTATACCTGCGCTCGATGTCCTTCTAAGACGCAGCTATATCCGGATGAGGATCCCGCCTTACCCAAAGCGACGGACAGAACGGCGGTCTGTCGGCCAGCAACGTGCTGCGTCGCTTTCTTCATCCCCCGCTGAACAGTGAAGCTTTGAAGCACGGCGATCAGCGGTCCTTCGACCAGGGGCCGCGCGACAAAATAGCCTCTGGGTGTGGGCACCTGTGCCAAGCTCGCCCTCTTTCGGCATCTCACAACTCTGTGAGTACGTTTCTATCTATACCGCATATGAATGCACGTCTCCGGAGAATTGTCGCTGTGCGGTCTCCTAGGACGGGTATAGCTGTGCTCTATCCGGAATACCGCGTATCCTGGTTGTGCACACGAAAGCTTGTGAATACGGTCGGTGGGTGTTTGCGGCCGATCCGCGCGCGGAGAACACATCGCATGCGGTCCGCCTTCCTTTAGCTCCGGGCCAGTCAAGGCAGCAGCGTGCGTGGCAATTTTCCTGACACATGGTCACAACCTGTTTACATGGCGACTAGCCAGAGCTACTAGCAGCGCATGTCAGCAACACGAAGGTTTGTGTGTAAGAAGTTGTGAAACTTGGAAGGTGTATAATATCGAGAAGCCTGGCATGGACATAGGTACACCGGTGGCAATAGCAGCATGTCTCTGTTAGTATATCGGTTAGTACACGCGCCTGTCATTTGCCTGGCCGCGCGAAAGCGGGGTTCGACTCCCCGACAGAGAGTTTTTGTTTTGCATCCAGTAACCTCGACATCCCCCATCTGCCATGCAGGCGGCGAATTACGTGCAGCTACATGCGCAAGACAGTACGTATAGCGTGGACCCAGTAGAGACATCGAGGCTGACGATGCTAGCCTGACACGGTCACGTTATTCAGGCTGACGACGCGACGCGCAGGAGCGCGCAAGCTCCAAGCTCAAGCTCAAGTTCGAATATCATCCACGTAGGCTGACAGCTTTTCCAGTCGTCAGCTTGTCAGCTTGCACACACTGATGGTTCCCGGACGCGTATTACTAGTGATTGATATCTTGGCCGGCCGATATTAGAACTGTTTAGCTTGAGTTCACGCGTACGCGTATGGGTCAGCAATTCCCCTTGATCGACCTGGGGCTGACATTCGTAACAAGTACTGTATCATAGCCATGCATAGAGGCTGACGTTAACTTCGACACTGTCAGCTTTTTTACGCTGGGCGGCCGCTGCTGCCTGTTGCCAGCCGCTCGACCTCGACGTGCCCTTTGAGCACCTCATGTACAAATTGCGGGGAGAAGTTGTTGTCGACAACGTATCGATCGCCGTACAGTCTATGCATGTTAGCTGTGGCACATATGTAACGGAAGCTTCCCTTAGATAGACAGACGGTTTGCTGGAGGCGTGATATTTCGACCGATCGTCAGGAGTGCAGCGCAGTGGTTCAGCAGACTGTTAGATCGTGTCGGTGGCTGTCATTCGTAAAGACTGTACTTCCACATATAGAGGCTGACCTTAACTTAGAGATATTGCCAGCCGCTTAGCAATACCGATTGATCGTTCACCACGCACGTCTTGCCAGCCGCTGGCTTTCGACATCCAATTTGAGCACTTTGTCTAAACAGGTCGTCCGACATACGTCATTCTTCGCGGGAGCTCAGTCCTAGTCGATTTGCCAACTCCCTATGGGCCTTGCAATGGTATGCGGGAAGGTACTAATGTGAAAAGCACGAAGAGGGATGGATGAGCATAGCGGGCCCGAGTGTATTGGAAGGTCTACGACATGCGCGGTAGACGTAGTACAAGGTAGTACAAGTCTATTCTGTGCACCGCCACATGTCCACAAGACGCCTTGGAGCCTCTTGAAGCACGGCGACCAAACGGAGATATCCGTCCCCTTGACGAAAAGCAATTAAGTGGCTCCAAGAGACGACATGCCGTGTCGAGAGCCGTTCAAACATGAAACAGATGGGTCCTCAGAAGCCGGGCAGAATATAGAGCGGCGCTGAGTGGCGGATGCTGATAGCGTCACATTGCGGGGATTGTAGACAGCTGCAGCCAAGTAAGTAGATCGTTGAGTCAAAAGGGCCCCAGCTGAAGATTGACAAGCACGCTAGAACCACTGGGCGCGCGCCAGTACATAGAACGAAGTACGAGCTGCTGTTCGAGCGCCGTATTGTTGATCGTGTGTGAATGCCTGTTGTCTTGGAAGGGGTGTACTCTGTGACGTGATGTATCATGACAGCTTTGCGGGCCGAACGAGCTGTATGACTGCAGAAACCCGCCGCCCCGAAGCAACATACGTCGGCGGCGGCGCAGTAGTCGTCGCCATACGTCAATATGCAACAGGTGATGGAAGACGCACCGCTGCAAATTTTCTGCGCATGCAGCCACACGCGATCGGAGCCAGGGCCGCTCAATATAAGCTTTGGGCTTCCCAGGACAAATTGGAGAATCAGAGTGGCCGGCGGGGCAGCGAGTCGCGAGGCGGCCAACGAGGAGCGTCGGTGCGTGCGGGGAGACCGTTTAAGCTGCTGGGCGACGGAAGACGCGCACCCGGGGTCTTGCTTATGTAACGCCTCGCGCCGACGATCCGGGACGCGCGCTCGGGGGAGGTATGACCTCATCGAGGAACCTATGCGGGCCTGCGACGACATATCCACCTGCGCAACGCGTCGTGCGCTGCGGCGCTGCGCACGGGAGAGGTCCCATTCATCAGAGGACGTGGCCCGGAGACGTGTCGAGATGGAAGGGGCGGAGGGAGCCGCTGCGAGGCCGGGCAGGGCGGGGAGAGGGCAGAGCTGTGCGGCGAGGGCGATGATAGACACGTTGGAGCGGCTGGCTCGCAGGTTGTCACCGGACAATCAGTGCGATCATGCTGAGCCGGTGGAGCAGCCCTCGCGCGTCACGCTAGGGTGAATGCCGAGGCGAGGACCTGGGGGCTTGCGCGAGGAGATAGAGGGGTGTCGCGCGGTGGGTGCATGGGCTGGCGCGTGAGAGGGAGGGAGAGGGAGGAGGCGAGGACAGTTGGCCGAGTGCAGGCGGGGGAGCCGATTGGGCGGAACGCGGGGCGGACAGGAGGATGGAGCGGCTGGGGCGCGTCGCGATGTCTTCATCCGAGAAGGACCCCCGTTTTCGTTTCGTCCCCCGCCCACAGCTGCTCTCGGGCCACCACCCTCGCACGGCCGCACGCTTGCCGAGGCGGTTCATATACCGCTCAGAGCGCTCGCCTTCCTATATCCTCCCTCTCCGTCCCGCCCTCAGTCCCGTCCAGCGTTTGTCGCGTCCAGCTTTCCCCGCACTGCTCGGTCGTGCCGCCGTCGTCGCCGCCGCACCTACCATCGCTCGCTGCTCCAGAAGCCACACACCATCAGCACCGCCTACCATCATGCTCGCGACGTCGTCTGCCATCCCGCCCTCAGCCGTCCCCTCCCACTCGGCCGCGGACCCGGATCCGTTCGTCCTGTACGCGCGCTCCCTCCACGACTATACCCTCCGTCTTTGGACGGAATCAAGGAGGATCGCAGAAGAGAAGGCCCGGATTAGAGCCGCCGCTACCGGTGCCTCGGCCAAAGACCACGCAGACCCTCTCCAGGCGCAGTCCAACGGCAACAAACAACCGGAGATGATACCACCCGCCAAAGCCTGAGCGGCTAGGACACGGATGTGGTAGTAGATGCTGGGGGAGGTTGTCAGGCGAGATTGATGTCCCAGGTGAGCACAAGTCGTCGCTTCTCTCACCAGCTCTTAGTCTCATTCGTGCCGTTGTAGCTTTGCGCATACGCCGCGAGACGGCTTCGTGACCGCCTTCGCATAGCGTAGCACGCTTGTGCCTTTCCCTTTCGACGATTTTACTCGTATTTCTGTTGTCTCGCTTTCCACTTTCCGCTGACGCTTCACCCATGCCTGTACAGTATATTTGTCTGATCAGTATATCGATATCGCCTGTCTATCCATCCACTACTCCCTCACCACCCTAGTCATCCGTAGTACTCGCCCCGGTTCGGAGGGAGCTTCCGACGTTATGCATTCCATTGGGTTTTTGGTGGTGTTGTCAGTACGTCTGTATATCTCGAATCCATCGTATTTACACCGTAGAAGCGAGCGGCGGGAGGCAAAGCAGAAGACGATGTCCGGCGGGTCTAGACATCCCCACTCTCCCTCTTTATACCGCCACACCGAGCTCGACGGCGAGTCTAGACTCGTGCGTGACAGGCTTAAGAGAGTCACTGCCGAGCATAGACAGCATGTCACGCATCACGCACAAAGGTGGGCATCAATTTCGGATCGCCTCGGCCGCCGCCCACGCACGACGTCAACGTCCTGATAGCATCGACCTGATCGTCTGCTTCGACCGAGGAGACGTATCATGCGCGTGGCATTCGGCGTCCCACAGCAAGTCGTCTGATCACCTATGCGGCCGTCGACGTCGGGTAAGAGTATCGCAACGTTTTCGAGCCATTTTATGGCCAGACTTGTTTGTGCATCACGCTCGTGTCCGCACAAGTTCCACAAGGACCGCACGATCTCGGGATCAGGAACAGAATCAGAAAACGTGCTCAAGCGACCACAAGCACCCATGCAATCCCCAGACGCGTCGCCGCTCATCCTGGCACGGGGACCCGCCTCCCTGCGACGCACGTTCCATGCGCATTCAAATAGCGCGTTATGCCCACCATCAGCCGCTTCCCGAGTTCGATGTCAAGATGCGCGAACGTGAGGTCCGCGCTGAATATACTCTCCCCAGACCGTCTTATAAGCCGCCGCGTCGTCGGCCATGGGGCCCGCCCTCGCTGTCCTTCTCGGAGCTGCAATGTTGTTGTCGTATAGGGTGCTGGGTATTGCGGCTGCGTCGGCGGTGGCCTTCTCCGTCCCTGGGCTCGCGGAGCCCGTCGCGCCAGACGGGCTCGGGCCGTCTGCGTTCACGGCCCCTGGGGCGTTCCCGACGTCGGCGTACAAACACTATTACAACTCTCCCACAGCGACCTCGGCCCAACCACAGCCTGTGATCTCAGACCCTGTCACGGTGAGTACCGCTGCAGTCGGCGTGTGCGCGGCGGGGCTCACCGTGCTCGGATCGCCAGCATGAGATCTATCCGTTTGAGTTGACGAACCCGGACACGCTTCCCAAAGTGAGTACAGCCCCCCATCGACGCTGGACCTGCGACGTTCTGGCGAAGAGGCACCGCTCACGCGCGATACCGTTCCAGAACAACACGCGCGACCCGCACATCCTGCCTCCGAAGGCGTCCTCGGGCCAGCTGCTTGAGTCTGCCTTCGCGCAGGTGCTCTCGATCGCGGGCAACCCCACCTTCGGGACGAACACCTGCGCGCGCTGCCAGGCCGCGCTGCAGGCCGCCAAGTTCCTCGCGCTCGCCGCCCCGGAGGAGGGCCCCGCCCTCGCCGTGCGCTTGTGCGAGCACTTCAGCTTCAACAGCGACTGCGCGACGCAGTTCGGCATTTTCCAGCTCGGCTCCGTCGTCACGCAGGTCGTCGCGAACGCGGACGTCGGCGGGCTCGATGGGCAGGTGCGCGGCTTTCCCGCGTGTCTGAGCTTAATCTGTGTGACAGGAACTTATGCGAGGTTCTGGTGTTCTGTAGATGCTGTGCTCGCACTTCCTCGGGGGCCTGTGTCCGGCTGCGACAGCGACGCCGCTCAACTTGACGGACTGGTTCGCGAAGCCGAAGCCTGATCCTCTTCCTGCTGCGAAGAAGCCCTCGGGAAAGCGGCTGAAGGTGTTGCATCTTTCGGAC